CCAGAGAGCTGCTGTGAGCCCCCGTGCTGTGAGCCCCGCTGCTGTGAGCCCCGCTGCTGTGCCCCGGCCCCCTGCCTGAGCCTCCTCTGCGCCCCAGTGAGCTGTGAGCCCTGCCCCTGCCCATCTGCCTGCACCAGCTCCTGCACGGCCTTGTGCTGCCTGCAGTCTAGCTGCCAGCCCTCCTGCTGCACCTCCTCCCCCTGCCAGCAGGACTGCTGTGAGCCTGTGTGCTGCAGGCCTGTGTGCTGCAGGCCCGTGTGTTGCAGGCCTGTGTGCTGCAGGCCCGTGTGCTGCACGCCTGTCTGCTGCAGGCCCGTGTGCTGCAGGCCCGTGTGCTGTGAGCCCACCCCCTGCCCCTCGTCCTGCTGCAGACCCTCCTCCTCTGTCGTCCCTGCTCTGCCGCCCCGTGTGCAGACCCGCCTGCTGTGCCCCCGCCCCCCCTGCCAGCCCAGCTGCTGCCGCCCGGCCTCCTGCGTGTCCCTGCTCTGCCGCCCCAGGTGCTCCCGCTCGGCCTGCTGTGTCCCCAACTCGGCCTAGAAGTCCGGCTGCTGACCGGCTGGTCTGCCGGCCTCTCTCCAGCTGTTGTCTTTGACCCTGAGCCCAGCTGTCCTCTCTCAGGAGCCCCGGAGCCTCTCTGCTGGCGCCAGGACCTCCCCTCTCTCGTGGGTGGACACACAGCTGATGCCTAGAGGGGACTTGAACATGCCGCCCACAAACCCCTCAGCTGGGGGGACTGCTGGCCCTGGGAGCCCTCCTCTGCAGGGTTAGGTGCTTGTATTTCATGTGTCAAAGGTCAACTGCCATCATCAATAAAATGTTTGTGTGGGGAAATACGGACCCATGTCTACTTTGTCCTCCTCCCTGAGCCACTTTGACCACTCCAAGTCTGGGCAGTCGGGCTCTGTCTGGTAAAAACCAGGTAATGAGGACATAGTCTCGAATCTGAGCGCAAAGCAGCTGAGAAACAATAGGGTCTCAAAGAGGACGCCAAGTGCAGGCTCCACGTCCCCTCCTCCCCCAGGGCCCCCTCCCCATGGCAGACAGCCTGCCAAGGCCAGCACAGGGCTCGAGCCGGGTGCAGAAGGCTTAGACCCCAAGTGCACCTTGGGCCTCTGCTCACGCCCACCCCCTGCCCGTCCAGGTGAGAGGTGACTTGGGGAGCAGCTGAAACCCTGTTTGGTCGGGATCTGAGAGTCCAAGACTAGCCCTGTGCTGACTTCTGTTGGAGAGAGGCGCCCGCATGGAGGCTCGCCTGTGTGCCGGGCTGCGTATGAGTCCCTGTGGGCCTCAAGGGGGTCCAGGGGTTGGTTCAGACATCACTTGTTCTGCTCAGGGTTTCAAGGTCTGATTGGGAAGGCACAGAGAAGAAAGACAGCTTGGGAACAAACCCTCA